GGCCACAAGGCAATCTGGGCTGTGCACTGAGATGTGTCATACACTTGTAAGACAGTCACAAGATAGAGGTGAAAGTTTTTTGATCACATAACATCACATCATTATCCCTTCATGTGGGAAACTGGGGATCTGGTTAATAAAATTTCCAAACTCCACTTGTGTGATGAGAGCAGCAAAAGCCCATTAGTGGGGATGCAGTTATTTCAGTACTGAAGTGCTCTGGCTTCATAGAATCATAGAATCATAGAATCATAGAATCAACTGGGTTGGAAAGGACCTCTGAGATCATCAAGTCCAACCCTTGATCCACTAACGCTGCGGTTACTAGACCATGGCACTAAGTGCCGCATTCAGTCTCTTTTTAAAAATCTCCAGGGACGGAGAATCCACCACTTCCCTGGGCAGCCCATTCCAATATCTGACCACCTTCTCTGTAAAGAAATTCTTTCTAATATCTAACCTAAACCTCCCTTGGCACAACTTGAGACCATGCCCTCTTGTCTTGCTGATAGTTGCCTGGGAAAAGAGACCAACCCCCACCTGGCTACAACCTCCTTTCAGGGAGTTGTAGAGAGTGATGAGGTCTCCCCTGAGCCTCCTCTTCTCCAGGCTGAACAGCCCCAACTCCCTCAGCCTCTCCTCATAGGTCTTATGCTTGAGTCCCTTCGCCAGCCTACTTGCCCTCCTCTGGACCTGCTCCAGCACCTCAATATCCTTTCTGAACTGAGGGGCCCAGAACTGGACACAGCACTCAAGGTGTGGCCTCACCAGTGCTGAGTACAGGGGCAGAATCACTTCCCTGGTCCTGCTGGCCATGCTGTTCCTGATACAGGCCAGGATGCCATTGGCCTTCTTGGCCACCTGGGCACACTGCTGGCTCATGTTCAGCTTCCTGTCAATCCAAACTCCCAGGTCCCTCTTGTCAATCCAAACTCCCTTCAGTGTAGTTTTTACTCTACGTAGGCTATTTATCAAGGCTTTATTTATCTTTAACGCAAATACAGCAGTTGGCATAGAATTGGGCTCAATGGTCCACATGGGACCCTCCCAAATTCAAATATTCTATGATTCTATGATTAGCAGAATACACTCATATCCTGATACTGGTTATTCCTCTTTCTGTAGAAGAACCATCTGCAACACTCTGAGTGTCTGTATCACATCATAGCTCTGTTGATACTAGACGTAGTCAACAAAAACATAACCTTAATGAAGTAAATATTCATGTATACCTAAACAGAAGCTTCTTAATGTTGAGCTAAGGACAACAGCCTATACATCCCACTGGTGCAAGCCATAAACAGCAAGAAAGCAGGCAGATAAGGCAACAGCTCACTCACCAGTTCCTCTTCCTAGCTGTACCTACTTCCTTTCCATCACTTACAGTTCTCATCAGTTTACTCATTCTGAGCACCCAGAGCACAGTTTGGCATCTGACTGCACATTTGTTACATCAGCACACACATCCTCATTTCATTTCCCTAATTTCTGTATTAAAGTTTAGTATAAGATTCAGACAAATAACTAAATTCACAGACCACCTGCTCTCATATTTTCTAACCATTTCAAAGAAACCAAGCATCTCTCACAACTGGCACCTGCAGGCTGGTGGAATACTTTGCTGCCACAAACCAGCACCCGATTGCAAAACATCATATGACTGTAACATTTGGAAACCATCTCAAGCCCATGGAGATCATCAGACCATGAGATCACCAGTCAACTGGATCTGAGTTCTAGGCTGATGCTGCTTACTCAGTGGGGAGTACAGATGCATGGGCTGTGGTCAGGGAAGATTGAAGGAACTGAGGTTTAGAAGGGGGAACTGATGATTGATATGTAGGAAAGCAGAATGACTCATATGCCAAATCTTGTGCTTTCTACAGCGTAAGCCACTGAACTGTGCCATTTAGGAAGCCTGGGTCAAGTGTAACAGTGATTTGTGAATGGTTGTCATCTTTCATTGATGTGGTATGAGCAACACATGACATTCCCTGTAAGGAGCACTAGAACCTAGAGGTGACTGGCACTGTCCAAAGCAAGGTAGATTTGTTTCATTCTTACAATCTACTTTGAATTTAAAGCATCAGCCATGCAGTTTTGGTGCACACCTGAAGGACCATCTTGATAACTCCCAGTTTAACATTACAAAACCAAGGCACTCAGTGAAGGAAATGGTAAGGTTGAGACTGCCCCTCCAACTTTGTCTGCTACCTTCCCTCTCTACTTAATGCGCATTGTGGTGCAGTCATGCAGTCAGTGTCTGTCCTGTCCTAGAGAAGTCTATTAGGATGGAAAACAGGGCCCAGCTTTTTGGTGCTTATTCAGTAATAGTCATAGTCCTTCATTGCTGCACACCTTCCAGGCCTGTCATGAAGACCATTAATAGTTTCATCATGGTTTTTCCAAGGACGTGCATCACCGTATTATCCATGCATATGCATGCCACGACACTCCACGAGGAGGGAGAAGATCCTTAGTGCTGTGAGTGCACATGTGTGACTGTGGAAGTATGTGAATAGAAGAGAAAAGTCATGGCAGCACCCAGGTTTTGTCAGCTCTCCTCACAATCCTGCTGGACAGGGCCAGGACTCCTCCTGCTACATCACTGCCTGGACCAAAGTTCCTTTCCCTGCAGCCCTCTTCTTCCAACACTGCACATGAGAACCCTCATGAGAACCCCTCATGAGAAGAGAGGCAAGACTCCTCCAGACAAATCTGCTGCGTTCCTTTAGACACTTCTACTTCGTGCATTTAGCAAGCAAGGAATTTTATGTAGGAAAAAACACCAAGTGGTTCCATGGCTAAGACTGTGACTAGCTCATTTCTGCGAGGTGGTTTGTGAGATGGATACGTGGAGGTGAGACAGCAAAGTGACAGAGCCAGAGCTCCCCAACCAGCCCAAAGGAAGGCTGAGAAGACCTCTCTGTCCCACCCTTGCCTACTTGTACGCACTGTTAACAATGTGTAATGCTCACAAAGGCCTAGATGGCAGTAAAGCCTCTGGAGGGAGGTGACACACTTCGAAAGATTCACAAAATCAGCCAGAACAAATATAATCCTGAAAAGTGAAACATTGAAAAAAAAGCCGCTGAACCCAAACCTTATGCATGTCCTTATCTTCCAGACCTTTCAAGTGTCAAATTGCCCTAGCCTCTGGTTGTTTCAAGACTGCATGAGTCATATCCTTGCTAACTGGAAGACTTAAATTGAGTTTGTTCAGCACCCATTAGGATGGAAGGAATTCAGTTAGTAATGATATGAAATGGAAATCACAGGTCTTGTTTTTATTTTAAACCCATTTACTTCACTCTTTCTTAACCGTTTTGAAGCAAACCCATTTGCCATCACAGTGGCATGGTTACTTTTGCTAACCTGGATAACCTGGATAATAGCAACAAAAACACTTTATGTAACTGACTGTTACAGTCTGTGGAGGTGTTTGCATTTAGCAGCTTCTTTTGCCATCTGAGCCTTTCACATGCCTTTCCTTGCCTCCTGACCACTGGTGAATTGACAGCAAGAGCCTCAGACTGCACCCTTGTTTTGCTGAATACAACCGTGGTTCCCACAGGCTGCAGTCAGAAATTATAAAATTGAACATTTCATTGGCAGTTGATCTCAAAAGCTGAAACAGGTTTCTAAATTCTTGGGTGAAATACAGTGTAAAACCATCTTTGAAATAATTGTATAAAACTTGCTTTTACAGTGTGATGCTTCCAATGGACCTAACTTGCAGACCAATTTAAGGTCTCTCCTTAAATACCAGGACACAAATCATACAGTTTACTTGGAAAATACAAGATCAATATGAAGAGTGTTTTATTAAGAAGCTTAATTTCAGCTATTTATTCAGCAGAGTTCCAGAGTATCTAGAGAAAAAACTCAGCATGTCAAAATTGGAGATTTATTGAATACGAAAATGTTTCTCATTCTTATGAACTTGATAAGAAAATGAAGAGGTGGATGATAGATATAGCAGTTACCTTTCAGAAGGCTGTTCTAGCCATGTTTATGCTTTGCAACACCTGATTGATGTTGACTCTGCTACATTTTAATTTGACTTACCTATGAATATTTTTGGAAAATTCCATTTGTTTACTGTCCTGTCTTTGAATCCCATTTCTCATACTATTTTTTCTTTTAAAAATAGTTTTCATGAGATACTTTAATTTTTCTTCCTTGGTACTTCTATATCAGTTTTACTCATTTGAATTGTGATACAATTTCTCCAAGTCAGTGCTCTCAGACACTTGAGCATCTGTACTGGCTGGTAAATATATTGATACAAGGCTGTTATTTTTTACTTTCACCATAACTAAAAGTAGGAGGAAAATCTGATTGCAAATAGCCATAGTCAAGATTAAATACAAATCTCTGACTTCAATTAGTTTGGGATGGTTTAAGAATTTCATATTTTTCCAGGCTGGTAGCTGGACCACACCACAAATTTGGTGTCTGTACACGTATAAAAATGTTTCCTGAAGACTTCCATACTGTTCAGTATCTACAGGTAAAATATACTCTTTGGCTGCTCTCAAGGTGCGATATGTCACAAATGGGGCCCAGCTTTCCTTCTCCACCTCACTGTGGAGAAGGTTTTAATCCCAGCAAATAATCTGTTATTATTCTGATATCTAACGCAAAATGGCTGCACTTAAATAGAAAATTTCAAGGTAAGCACAATTATTTGTAAGTAAAGGTCTGCCATCTAATTCAATTGCATCCGAAGCCAGTCTGTTGATGAAGTAATTTTATGTACTTTTTAAAGTTTTCAATGAATTCACTGAAATCACCAGACTGGATGGTACTTTCAAAGCTAGATGGAAAAATTACTAAAATGACAAATTAATTTGAAAATGAGAACACTTTTGTTAATACACATAAATACAGACAAAAAAAAGTACATCTTAGACTCTGCAGTGTTCCGTGCTCAAAGCAAAGCCTTGATGTCCGTTCAGGTTTTGTTTCCCATCAGTGCAAAACTCAAATAAGGCTTTTCCAGCATTCCCTGCCTGATATTCCAAGTGGGTTTTATTAACTATGTTTTTTTTTTCCTCTTCAACTTTCACAAGATATAGTGAAAATTTGATCCTCAGATAACAAGAAAAGAGGAATAAACACAGTGCTGCACTGCCTGTGGAGCATCCCAGCAAGAAGCGCGTGCCTCAGGAGTGATTTCCCATCGTGTCTCCGCTCTGGCCTGGGTACAGCAGCAAGCAATGATGGGCACGGATGCTGGCACTGCCCTGATGGCTCAGGAGGAGAAATGGAAACAAGGTTGTCCTCTCCTGCAACCTCTTCATGCTCTCCTACTGCAGTCCCAGGTGCTTGGAGCAATGCAGAGCCTGTTTTCACATGTGTGCTGCAGGAACCGTGTAGACAGTGAGCATGGAAAATAAAGGGCAACTTGTGTACTTTTTTTTGTCCTCTTTGTTCCCAGGAATTGTTCTGATTAACATAAAATACCATTTTTATGATAGATTAATAATAATAAACAAAGCTAAAGTTCTGATGTATACAACAATTGAGAATATTGAGAACTTTTCTATATCCACTTTTAATGAAAAAATGAATAATGAATAGAAATAGAAGTATAACAAAGAATTTCCAGTTGAACTAGGAAAATACAGGGATAAATAGAGCAAGTAAAACTGACATTTTACTTCCTGGTTATTTGTATATCCCCATTATTTGTATATTCTCAGTTATTTGTACATCCTGTCCCTACTTAGAGCCACTTATGTTTCAAAACAGACCAGAAAATAAGAACAAAATATCCTCACAGCACTTTTACTGACATATTCTCAGTTGAAACTATGATGAAACTATGATTCGTATATTAATTTTTCATTTCTTGCATGCCAAAAAGTACAAAAGCCAAAAGACTCTCAAATCTTTACACTTAAGGAAGGAAATTTTGATCTCAACTGTTTCCTTTTATTTTCATAACTTGCTAATTATTACTGGCAGTGCACTCATTTGAAAAAAAAAATATATTACTTCAATTTTTACTGTGCAATTTCTCAGATTTTATATAACAATGTAAAGTTGACATGGGATAATGAAGTACAGTTTTTACCAGTGAGGAGATCTGTTTTAAGATAACTTCCAAACACTTCAGGCATGAGGAAAATAATTCAAAAAAAATCTTCACCAAACTAAATTTAACATACATGTATTCCATATGCTAACATTGCCCCTGCTGTATGCCTTAGTATGATCCAAATTTCCAACACAGGAACTATTTATACCATTTTCTAGTGTGTCCATATCTTCTTAAATTGGAAGAAATATGTTTAGAAAAGAAATCTGATCTACTAGAACATATAATGGGGATAGATTAACTTCAATTATGTTACTTGAAATAAAATATCCATTATATAATGGATAAAATATCCATTATATTAAGTTACTGGCTGACAAGCATTAAATCAAATATAGACTTCTACATACTCCGTATCTGTAGTAAAGTATTATAACATATTAAACAGATCCTTATTTTAAAATCTCTTTCCAGCACAGGACCAATCATTTATGAACTGCCTCACACAAGCTAGTTGGGAGTTATGAGGAACCCTGTCTTTTTTGATATTGTATTCTGAGCTTTTCCAGTTGCTCCACGCACTGCGTCTGGGCCAGCTTCAGTGTTCGGTTCTCCTCTGTCAGTTCTGCATATTCCTTAGCCAGCTGAGCAGCATCCATGCTTTCTTTTTCCACTTGTTCCAGCCTGGCAATCAGCTCCTTTCTAATGATTATGAAAAAAACCCCAAATATTAAAAATGGTAGTATGCAAAAATTTGTCATCATGTGTTAGGTCAAAGCTGGACTGTAGGTTGTTAACATGGTATTACCTCAGCTCGTGTGAAACAAGGGCCTAGAAAATTAATTTGTTAGAGTCCTCTTTTTTCCATTAAAAGATGAAGCTTCCAAAATCGCTGATAGGTTTGCTGTTCAGTGACCAAATCTGCAAAATGCTGGTTTCAAGTATTTGTATTTAGGGTTATTCAGCCTGGAGAACAGAAGGTTTCAGGAAGACCTTAGAGGCCCTACCAGTACCAAAAGGTGCTCCAAAAGAGCTGGAGAGGGACTCTTCACAGGGGTGACAGGACAAGAGAATGGCTTTAAACTGAAAGAGAGTAGGGTTAAATTGGATATTGGGAAGAAATTCTTCCATGTGAGGATGGTGAGGCACTGCACAGGTTGACCAGAGAAGCTGTGGCTGTGACATCCCTGGAAGTGTCCAAGGCCAAGTTGAATGAGGCTTGAAGCAACCTGGTCTAGTGGAAAGTGTCCCTGCCCATGGCAGTGGTTTGGAACTAGATGATCTTTAAGGTCCATCGCAATCCAAACCATCCTATAACTGTATAATTCTGTGATCTCTAACTTCAGTAAATGTTGAACGTGTAATTCATGGTGGTGAATCAAGTGCTAATACTTTACCAGAAGAATAACAATATATTTTTCTCTCAATATCAAATATAATTGAAAGAGAGCATAATTTTTTGTTCAGTTAGTTAGATTTATTAGTAAATTCTGTGAAGTGCACCTGGTTTCCTTTCTCTATTACAGATGATTCTAGTAGATACTAGGCACATGAATCTGAACTACATATATTGCTTCTATAATATGTTTAGGCTCCGACCTTAGCCCTACTACTGAGGCAGAGTGATAGACCTGCAAACCTGACGCCTCCTGGTCCTCATAAGAGCTGTGGCTTCTTCTGGATGGAGTAACACAGTGCCCTGTATTCCCAGAGCTGGCCAGGAGCTGGAGTCTCCTGTATAGTATCAACTGAAATTACCTCAGCACAAGTTAAGATAAAAGAGGTCTTAAAACACACTGAAGGCATGAGTAACTCACAGGGTTAGTGAATTACTAATTGTTCTCCACTTAAGTCATCCAGCAGGCTAGCCTGGCCTCTGGGGTTTTTCCCCTTTAAGTCAAAAATTCACCCCTGCTACAGGAAGTCTCTTCTAAAGGGTTCTTAGTTCTTTTGATCATTCTATCTCAGAGATTAGTTAATCTTTAACGGTTCATGGCCCTATGACTTTATTTCTCAGTCATATCAAAACAATGCTTGTAGATCACCAGTGGGAAGATGTTAGTACCTTCAAAGTGGATAGCTTTTGCTGTGGTCCTTAAAGGAGCCTTCTTGTCAGGCTAGACCTGTACTTTCAGACAGGAAATTCCTACAGATCTGGAATTCTATTCCCACAGGTCAGAGTATTCATGAAAAGATAACATTTCTGTATTTGCTCATCACTTATGTTGCTTGTAGCTGCAAAGCTACCACTTACAGCAGTAAAAGTGTAAGCGCATGGGTTTTGAAAAACACTTCTGCCTGGGCTTCTTTTAGGATCAATTTGACCTTCCTCTGTCTTTACTGCAGCTTTCAGTGATAGCAGAGTTTGCCCACGGTTTACAGTCACAATTACGTAAGTTCAAGGAGTCACAAAGTTAGAAGAGATTCTTGACACAGTCATTTCTCTCAAATGTGCTTCCCATTGAAAAAAAAAAAGAGTTAGCAGCCATTACAGAAATTTTAAATCATCCTAAAGAGGCAGTATATAGGCATCTTCCTACAGCTAAATATGTTGGCTTTGTTTTATACTGTTGAGGTAATGCAGAGCAGCTATGCTGCAGCAAAGCTTCTTTCTCTTTCCTTTCACCAGGTGAAAGGTGTGTTCAATTAAGCCTTTGAGGGAAAACATCAAGAGCCTATTTTAGCTCAGCAAAATTCTGTTTATATTTGTCACAAATAGTCGTAAAATTTTTAGAAGCCGCAAGCCATTAACAGATTTATTTCTCTTTGGTTGGGCCATGATAGATCAACCAATTTTCAAAGGGGCCAAGATGATTCTGCTAGATAGCTCCTATTAATGGGACAGAGACCATGGAGAAGTATTTTAGAGAGTAAAAAATGCATTTAGGGACAATGAGGTTTTACAAGTCTTTAATCACTTCAATCTCTCAAGGGTCTCCTCTGGAAGACTTTTGTTTCTGGAGACCAAGAGAGAGTGTCAGCAATATTTCTTTGCAATTATTCTCTGGTGCAGTGCTGGACTGAAGGATTAAATTAAGCTCTTTCAAATTACAGACTGTTAAAACAGAAGTGTCCAAAGAAATTAATTCAGAATCATTCTTCCTTACTTTTCGTACACTTATGAGCTTCTTAAAGGGAGATGTAGTGAACACACTAATAAGTAATCAGCATCTTCACAGCGGACAAATCTTTTCTGTGGGGACTTTTAGTACTTGAAAAAGAATGGTACTAACTACTCTATTTGAACTGGAGCCAGGAGTGGCACAGACAGACAATGTGAGAACTCGGACAACTCTGTTAATGAATGTCAGTCCTGATTTGATAAGATGAGACTTTGTGCAGGCAGGGCATTCATGCTGCTTTTCAGTAATATTAAAGCAACATAGATAACTTTTTCCCCTGTGGGATTTACCTTTGCTGTTAAACAAATTATAAATGTGCTAAAATAAAAAATATACTCATTACTGTAGTCCATACTCTAGGACTTCCCTCATAGAAAGCAGTTTCCTTGCACTGATTCTGTGATCCAGTAGTACTATGTGGGCAGAAAAGGGCAATTCAGTCATCTTTCCTGTGTTTCCTGTTTGGGACAGTATCTCCAGTTGTCTCCCAGTACGTTGGAGGCAAACAGCTGTCCAAATAACTAATTTCCAGTAAATTGCCAAGTAGCTACTTGTGTGGCTCCCTGTGTGTATGGTTGTACATATGTGTTATTGATTGACTACTCATGAGATTGTGCTGGAAGTCTGATAGATGCTACAGGCTGGATATTAGAAAAAGGTTCTTCACCTGGAGGGTGGCTGAGTGCTGGAAGAGGCTCCCCAGGAAAGCGGTCACAGCACCAAGCCTGATAGAGTTCAAGAAACGCTTGGATGATACTCTCAGACACATGGTGTGACTCTTGGGGATGGTCCTGCGCAGGGCCAGGAGTTGGACTCGATGATCCTCGTGGGTCCCTTCCAACTCAGCCTATTCTGTGATTCTGTGGTAAAATTGCCCACTTCTGAGTCAGCAGAACCTACTTGTTCCCTTCCCATCAGGATCAACACCTGTTTACAGGGTAGGGTGATGTTTCAGGCCTGCCACAGAACTAAAATTAGAGTACTGGGGAATTGCTAAATGTTATGAATGGTCTAGCTTACAAAGCTCACAAAAGGATGAGGACAGTAACATTTTCTTCTGATCTAATCCGGGATTTGAACTTAGCTTCCAGAGGTTAAAGAACACCATAATAAGCTCTTGCACCATGTAGCCTTTGTTATGGATGCTTAATAAATAGGTCTAGCACTGTGTAATCTGTGTTTTCTGTTAATGGCTATCCCAAGTTTAAATATTAACAGCATTGATAAGGTATTTTCTAAACTAGTGCTGAGGTACTCAAAGCTTTGAGACAATCTGTAATGTACACTCTAAGTGTTCTTTTCTGGGGAGGGATTTGTGAGGGAAGGGAGCCTGCCAGAGCAGGAGAAAAACACAGCATGGTCTTAGGGAAATTATTTCTCTTGGCCTTAATGACCGACCATGCAGACAACAGAGCTCCTTAACACTAATATTCACAATGAATAAATACCAAGAAAAGTGACAGACTAAGCAGATAAATCTGTCTGGAGATGAGTATATTTAAAGATGGACTGGACACAAGGAAAACAGCTTCCAGAGTACAAAGAATCAGATTTGTCTTTCCCCAGTTGTGAACAACGTGTTCAGGATCATGCATCTGTGGCACCACACATTTCTTCACAGCTAACATGTGTCTGTGTTCTGGTGGCCCATAAGATCATCTTCATTTCTCACATTTGACATGGCTTTCACATTAGGAGGAATCACGAGACCCTGTAAGGTAATCGCTGTCTGAGAAGACTGCCCTTGTGTGTTTAAAGCCTACTAATTGATTTTTAAAACAACGAGACAGCCTGTTTTAATTTAAATGAAAATATATCCAGATGACAACACATAAAAGGTCATAGAATCAGAGAATGATTTGGTTTGGAAGGGACCTTAAATATCATCTAATTCCAACACCCCTGCCATGGGCAGTGACACTTTCCACTAGACCTGGAAGTCTCTCTTTGTGTTAGAAAAGCTGTAATTTAATTTCCACTATTTGGCAAGTAACATATATTTTGCATACACATGATGATGAAAAATCAGGTCTAGAATGGGAAAATTATTGAGCTAAAAGGTTGCCTTTAAGGTTTATGCTAATCTTTTTCTGCAGTACCTGGAAGTCTGAAGACTGTTTGTCTTAGCAATGTTGCAAAGACAGTCTGGAAATAGTGTACCTGGAGAAACCATCTGGTCTGGAAACCTTAAAACAGTCTTATGGTCATGAGAGCATGCTAAAGCATATGGAAGACTTCCACAAAATTAAGCAGACATCTCCACTGCATGTCATTTGCCAAGAAGGCCAACGGCATCCTGGCCTGTATCAGCAATAGCGTGGCCAGCAGGACCAGGGCAGTGACTGTCCCCCTGTACCTGGCACTGGTGAGGCCAACCCTCAAATTCTGCATTCGTTCAGTTCTGGGCCACTCACTGCTAGAATGACATTGTAGTGCTGGAGGTGTCCGGAGAAGGGCAATGGAGCTGGGGACGGGTCTGGAGCACAAGTCTTGTAACTGGAGCAGCTGAGGGAGCTGGGGGTGTTTAATCTGAAGAAAAGGAGGCTCAGAGGAGATCTTCATGCTTTCTACAACTACCTGGAATGATATTGTAGCCAGGGGGAGGTCAGACTCTTCTGCCAGGTAACAAGGATGAGAGGAAATGGCCTCAAATTGTGCCAGGGGAAGTTAAGATTAGATTTAGGAAAAACTTTTTCTGGAAAGGGTTGCCAAGCACTGGAATGGGTTGTTCAGGGAAGTGGTGGAGTCACCATCCCTGGAGGTGTTAAAAAAACATGTAGATGTGGCACTTGAGGACATAGTTTAATGGCAAACATGGTGGTGGTGCTGGATTGATGGTTGGAGTTGATGATACTAAAGGTCTTTTCCAACTCTAATGATTCTATGATTCTATGTCTACTGTGACATGTGCAAAAGAAGAAAAGAAATCATATTCATGGCAAAGAAAAGGAGTGAACCTAAACCAGGTGGTGATCAAATGATATTTTCTGAAGAGTTATATTAGAATTGTCTGGGGGAGGAAAAAGCGATAACCAGCCAGTGCTAAGAATATAAGATACAGCTAGCAACCATGGCAACTCTAATATTTAACTACATAATCCAGGGTCATTATCTAGTAATAGCAATATAACAAGTGCTCAAAATAACCAACCATCCCACCCCTTTCACCCAAACTTAGATACCCCAAAACATCTGTTATGGAAATACATGTGTGTTTCTGGAACATAAATTAAATTACATTCTGTGCCCTAAATGTGGTGTGCTCTCGCTTCCACACCCTTTTCTTTATTTTCAATCATGTCTCCCATTCCACAGTGATTTTTTCCCTTGTACTACATATTGCTGGCATAAATGGGAAGAGTTTGAGTGAAGAGAGCAAACAAAGCTATGATTATATTAGCAAAAAAAAATCTACTCAGTCTTCTTCTAAATTCTTTCAATTTCTTCCTTCCTTTTTTAGTTTTCTTCTTGAGTAACTTCTTTTACCCTTCAATCATTTTATCAAAATAGTATTTAAGAGAAATAGACAATAGCTAACAGGTGCATTAGGCACCTGTGGATCTTTATTTCCATACATTCAAATTCAAACGTAGAAGAAGATAAAGACACCCACAAAAGGGGCAAATTTCAAAAAAGCTGCAAACGCCATCTTTTCAGTTTGAATTAGATTTGATTGAATAGAGAACTGCTTTTGAGGCTCCAAGCTTGTCCATCTCATCAGACTTTTTAGAAAAGTCAAAGCATCCATTCTAAGAATGGAATACTCAACTCTTCCAGTGGCGGGGCAACCAGAGCTTTTCTGGGCAATTTGTGCCAGTGCCTCAACACCCTCACAAGGGAAGAATTTCTTCCTACTATCTAATCTAAACCTATCCTCTGTCAGTTTAAAGCCATTCTCCCTTGTCCTATCTCTACATATCCTTTTAAATAGTCTCTCTACATCTTTCTTGTAGGCTCCCTTCAGGTACTGAAATGCTGCAATTACAAGTGTGCTCAGGTATGTAAGCTTACGTGTGTGTAAAAGTATATGTGTCCTAATAACTTTCTGATCCCCCTTCCAGTTTTAACCAAACTTGGTGCAGTTAAGAGGTCCCAGTTAGTTTCTGGAAGGTTTAATAAAAACAGACTGCTACAGAAAGGATTGTTGCTTCAGTGGGGAAAGGCAGTCTCATGAGACCTTCTCCAAAATACTACAAAATGGAGAATCTACCTGGAGGGAGAAGCTATAAACAGTTCACATATGGAGAAAAAAAAAAATCTTCAGTTGGCACTTGCAGCTTGTTAAACCTCAAAATCAAGCAACCAGTGCACCAACCTGTAGGAAATTAAACATCTTTGATCCCAGTGCTCTAGGACCACTTCTTAACATGGGCAGTGGTGAGAGGTGCTGCACTGATATTTGTGATGTTTAGGCATTTCACAGCTATACAGCATGTGAACACAAGTCCACAAATATGTAATTGGAAGGCACATAAGAATCACAGTAATATAATTCCATTCGTTGCCTTATTCAGCCACTCAACATATGTCTACTGGGGCACGGAATCCACAGAACAGGTTCGGCAAAGGTAGCAGTGGTGGAAGCATCCTGACATTGTTCCGCTGTTGACATCCACTGGTGAAATGAAATAAAATGCCAGCCTGAAGCCCGTTAATTCATCCAGGGTAACCACTGCAGAGAGGCTGACATCTGGGCTCAGAAGTTGATTAGGACAGTTGTGAGCTCTGGTAAGCAATTTTGTGCATGTACCTGCCCTTCTCAGGAAGCAAAGTATTTCTAATTCAGCTAGTACCACGGACTCCATAGATTACAAGATTGCATTCAAACAGGATATTTTTTTCACTTAAGAAAGTGCAAAAATAATAACATAAATGTCTATGGTTATTATAATAATAATAATATAAATGTCTAATTTTTAGAGGCTCCAAGCATACCTCATAAATAGGCATAACTGATTCAGGGATGTGTCAGTAATAATAATGGATTTATATCAGTAGACTCTAAAATCCAAATGATCCAAATGATCTAAGGCTACCTTTTGGGTTTATACATCTAAAGTCAAGTACTTAAATGACCATTTAATATTTTATATTCTATTTGGATTTTCAGAATAGAAAAAGACACATAGGTTTCCACTGAATTCGCTTGATTACTAAATACGTATTAAGCAGCTTATATTAGACAACCAAATTTGACAAATCATTGCAAAATTATTTGAATTAATTATCTTTTCCTCATCTTTCCAAACACACCAATTACATTTGATGGGTCATGTTCAATGAATGATGAATCAAATGCAAACACTGCATTTTCATGTATTTTTCCAGGCAGGGACAGTGTAGTGTTAATCTCTTCTGGCTATTTTTTCTTCTCTTTTAACTTTTGTGTCAGTTTGTCAGAATCTGAGTGCCACACAGATCCTACAGTGGAAGGGCATTTGTAGTGGGAAACCTCAAGTAGCTCTGACACATTAAGCCAACTGTAACTATATTGTGTCTGTAGCCATCAACCCTGATAAAGACATCTCACTTTCTTACCCTGAATAGTTTGGATTCAGGGAGTTCTTTGGCTATCTTGTAAGAATACAGGATTTCAACAGTTTCCCTCCCATCAGCTTGATTCTAAGATTCCCATGGATGCAAACTTGGCTGAACTTCAAGGTCGGCTGTGTAGGGATTTCACTACTCACCCTCTTTTGTCTCTCTGAATTTCTTTTTCAGGTTTCTTGTGGAAAGGGACCGAGACCCACAGAGTGCACTTTGCCATTTAATAGTCATGCAAAAGATGACAGGGCTGTGAGTACAGGCCACAGACAAGAAAAAACATCTCCAGCTTATGCACTTTGCATACAAACACCTAAAATGCAAATGTGCATTGAGCCAATGTATACAGAAACAGTGCAACTCACAGAAACACATCCACCAATACTGTCAAGCACTCCAAGCCTAACTGAGGATCTGTTACATTCGTCATTAAAATGTATAACGTTAAATTGAAAAAAAAATTCCCTAACATTAAAAAGGAGACTTGCACCAGTCGAACTGGACTGTTATGTGACCTGGAATCTGTCAGTGAAGGTTTTAAGGGATGCACACATAGGTTAGGGTCCAGAACTATGACAGCTCTTAGTGGGTCCAGTTGATCCTAAGGAGCAATGGCCTACTTGTACTGTGACTGTCAGGCAGAGGTATGGAACAGAATCATAGAGTCAAAAGAATGATAGAATCGTTTGGGTTGGAAGAGACCACAAAGATCATCCAGTTACAACCCCCCTGCCATGGGCAGGGACACCTTCTACTAAACCAGTTTGTTCAGAGCCCCATCCAACCTGATCTTGAACACTTCCAGGGATGGAGCAACCTGTGGCAGTGCCTCATCACCCTCACAGGGAAGAATTTTTTCCTAATATCCCATGCACCTAATACCCTAACCTTGACCTCTGTCAGTTTAAAGCCATTCTCCCTTTTCCTATCTCTTGTAAATAGTCTATCTCCATCTTTCTTATAAGCTCCCTTCAGGTACTGGAAGGCTGCAATTAAAAGGTGTGTGTGTATGTAAGTATATACATATGTGAGTATATATGTATATGAGTTTAAGGTCAGAAAATATTATGTGAAAACTTCATGCTTAAAACAGGATTTTACAAAGAGATTATACAACAGTAAATCCTTTGGGAAATTTACTCACTTTCTTTCTTCCAGCAGAGCAATTTCTTTCTTGACTTCATGGTACTCTTCTGCTATTTTGCAGTGCTGTTTATACACCTGCATAGATTCCTTAGACTCGTGACAAGGAGGCAGAGGCTTTAAGAAAAAGAAGAAGAATGCACTGTTTTAGAATGAAATATTAGTTTAAAAATACATATTTTAAAGATAAAATCTTTATCTTAATTCCTGTGAGAATTTTTTCCCCTAACTGCAGGATATTGCCAACTATTCCTAGTGATGGCCTTTCATGGAAGGAAAAAAACCCAAAACGATCCCAGTTCCCTGCATAAGAATATGCATAAACCTTCAAACCTTGTAACAATTTTCAGAACTCTCCTTGTCAGTTTTGCAAAGTATTCCTAAAGATTGATCAAAGAAAGATTTCTCCCTTACATCCCTCTGTTTCAGCTACAGTGATACATGGATGCTAAAGCTGATGCATTGGTCAGACCCATAACACACAGGAGCGTCTTTTCACTGCAGAAACTACAGCTCTGAGCAGAAGGAGATTTTGAGTGCAAACAAGCTCCTATTCTCCAGTTGTGCAAGATGAGAACAAAACACATGAAAAGACGTAGATTAAATGGTCTTTTTATTCCTAAATGCAATGCTTATTCCAGTTTATTCCTAAATAGGACAGGGCTGTGAATTGGGACACTGGGGTTGATTCTGCTGGACTCAACAGGAGTTAGTCTGCTGACTCCAGTGCAGCCAAGATTTTATGATGGGTTCTATCCCAGCAATATCTCAAGCTGTAAACAGCTTGCTCAAGATAATACCATTTCTCTGCATCTCTATTTCCTGTAGAAGAAGGGCATATGTTTACTTAGTAGAATGATTATGAGAGTTAAACCAGCTTATTTGCAAAGTGTTTTACATTTTCATGTAAAGCACAGGTGAGATTGAGCATAGAAGGATGATGGCAATCAAAAAAAGAAAAATCAGGTTAAGAAAGAGACACATTGAAGACAAAAGCATTATACCTCCTATCCTAAGTACTGACACCATTGTCACAAAATTTTAACTTTTTTCTAATGCACACTGAATGTAATAAATATGGCAAGTAAACCCACTCAGGGTTAGAACTCCTCATGTGAATTTCAGTTGAGACCTTGAAAATACATTTTTGGTTAAATGTAGGTACTTTTTGTTCCTTAAAAAGAAAACTGCTTAATTCAGGCTTATCACATTTTGGCTATAACGCTTTCAGGAAGTACTTCTAAGTTATTAGCCATGAATCTGTTGACTGTAAATGAACTCCAAATAGCATCCTTGAGCCACCTGTTTGAAGCAAAAGGAAACACTTAAAATAGTTCCTTTACTGCCCAGTTAAAGAGCATCCAATTGCCTTTCACAATATTAGTAGATTATTTTACATTTCTTGCTGTCCTACTTTGACTCTTCGCTGTAGCGTAATATTTCTTTAATGACATTTTATTAGGAAAAGAAAAGCACAAGTAATCAGACTTTTCCTATTTATGATCTTCTAATCCTTCTTTTTAATCTAAACTGGAAATTTAAATTTAAAATTCAGAGACAAAGATTGAAAACACTTTTACCCAGGAACAGGGTAAGTTGTTTCAGATGTAACCCAATGCACAGATGTAGGTAATGTAAGGATCTTGTGGGTACTTTTAGACAGTATGTGATTCCTCACTGAAATTTTAACACAGACACTCATTTCCCATTTTCTAAATGCAAAAATGCTGCAGAAGAATTGTTTCACAGGACATTCTCTCTGATCTTGGAGATTTCTGGAACCCAGGGAAAGGGCAGCCCATCACCTGATGAATCTAATCCCTAGGAAAGGGCTTTTAATTGCATTTCAATGTGGATGAGCAATAGCACCATTCATACAGCCACCCAAATAATAAGCATAAATTTAACAAGACAGAATATAGAAGTCTCAGTGCTCTAATCCAAGAATGCAAGGATGAGCCAAAGTAGCATCTCTGGTATCTGCCAGAGATCAGCCATCAACAAATGCATCACAATAAAAAAATTTTGGACGGTACCAAAAGGAAAGTCCCCAAACAGTGATACTTCAAAAGAAAATCCAACCAAACCAAACCAACAGAAAATCACCTTGGATTTGCTTCCAACTTAGTTTCTGCTAATCTAGCTGGTTTAAACAGTTTAAAAATTAAAACAGTGTTCAGTTTCTATATTCCAGCTTCCCACTCAAAAGATATATATAGAGAGCTAAAAATTATCCAGTCATGCTGAAACTTAGTATCTAAGTTTCACTTAGAACCAGTTGCTGATTTACAACCCCCTTCCTACCATTGTCCTCTTCAGTGACATTTTTTCTTACAGTGATATTTTAGCACTTAAAATAAACTTACAACAAATAATACAATCAGTTTACTAATGTTCTGTTAATACAATTCTTTTCAACCTTTTCTGATGGTATTAAGAACTATATAAAGAACTTTTTTAGTGTATTTTTCTTTAAAACATAGATTTGATTATGTTTTCATATGACTAGGTAGAATCATATAATTGAATCATATAATAGAATGGTTTGAGTTGGAAGGGACCTTAAAGATCATCCAGTTCCAATCCCCTGCCATGGGCAGGGACACCTTCCACTAGACCAGGTTGCCTCAAGTGCCATTGAACTTGTAACTGAACACTTCCAGGGATGGGGCAGCCAGAACTGGACAACTTGCAATTTGAAAATTTCTAAGAAAGGATTTGGTGATAGTATTTGGTGATAGATGTCCATGAGTAATTTCTGGCCAGTAGGATATTAAACTGGCTAATGCATTCATTATTTAACAAACATCTCTATTGCAATCACATGAAATGGAGAGATACAAGTCTCCATCCACCTAGAATGACTTTTCTGAATGCATGAGGCCAGACCATGGAGAGTGTTGCAGATGCTACTCTGATGGTATTCCCCGAAGTTTGTATACTATTTTTTTGGTGAGAGTTTGCTACTTTATCCAGGTAACTAATTTCAACAGGCCTTAATAAAGTGCAGTTTGCAGTATGTACTTTTTTTCACCCAGAAGCAAACAGCCATACTTTAATTTCTTCTTAGGACATGCCAAGCTTGATACTTCATGAAGTATCTTGCCTGTCCATAAATTAATACACTTAAAAACATACCTGCTAGAGAAGTCAAAAAACATCCCTGCCAAAGAAGGTTACATTTAATGGCAACAGTTGCTACTTTTAATCCTGTTTATTTCAGGCTTCAGTGTCATCCACCCTCATTTTTCTATGCTGGCAAGATATGCACATGCAGAATCTCTGATTTTGTTCACAAAGTTAGCACAAAAGCTGCAGCTTTAAGTTATACTAGTGATCTATCCTGTTATGCCTGATTTTCAACAAGGTCTGATTTTTCCTTTGTTGAATAACTTGCTGTAACACTGAGAAATGGTCTACAGGATCCAGCAAGTAGACATTAAGAGATCTTTTAGAGACTATTCTATAACTGCACATATATATGCACATCTTTACAAGACATATAAACTGTTCATTTAGACTTTTGTTTGGAATCCAGATATGAAAGATATTGGAAGATGACATGCAAATGCTGTTCATGAAGAAATAGAAAGAGTAGTTCTGCAGGCTTCTTAAGGCAGGTTGAAGGAACTGTTCTAAATAAAATCTTTGCTGGGGGACACAGAATGACAGTTTTCAGGTTTAGGGTTTTTTTCGTTTCACTCACATAACAAGGTATGTTTTGCCCTGCCATGTGAATATCAGCATTCCATATCCACAAAGGCTGTGTAGCTGACAATGTCAATCAAATGTTGAAAAACTTTGAAGCAGATTATTTTTTAATTCACCATAGTTTGTTTGCGTTTACTTTTTGACTCAACTGTGAAAAATAAAATTAAAATTTTCTCCTGAAATTGTTGAAGTTTCAAAAAAAAATTGTATCAGGCAGTTTTACCAGCTCATGTGAACTTGTCTAGAAAGCAGTCTTTACCACTAATTAAAGTCTAATTAAGTCCAATTAAAGAGTGGTATCTTGCTTTTTGTAAATTTGATAACCTTCAGCTAAGCTCTTGTGGAAAACCGGAAAGTTCAGTGCTGATATTTTGGATGGTGGCCTATGTTCGTTATACAGCCTTGTGTACTCTTCCATGATGGAAAACCCCACATTACTCCCAGCAAAAACTAGCACATTGCAGCTACTTTTTGTTGTGCAAGTGGAACTCTTCAACCAGTTTCAGATATCTGTCAGGATATGTCTTGTCTAGTCTAGTTTTACTATGAACATAAGCAGCTCTCTTTCTTCTGAACAATTCAGGTCAACTGGATAAGAGCAACTGAGAGTTTTGCTCTCCTTTGCTGAGACAATTTCCATTCTTTTCTAACTTGGGGATGATGTTCTGAATTTGTGAACATCCATGTCTTACATAACCTAAGACCATAGTTATTACAGCAGCATTACAGGAAACTTTTCAAGTTCATATCTAATTATAGAGTACCACAGTACTCTAGGAATACTTATGGAAATTAATACTAAAAATATTAGTAAATCTTAAAAAATTACATCATCCCCTTTAAAAATGCAGTATACTTTTAAGCTTTCTAAAATAATTTTGTGTGTCTAACAAGAATCTTGGCATTCAGTAGAATCAATTCAAGTTCCAGAGTAAACAAGGTTTCTGCTAAATGCTTATATCATGCACAACAAACTTTCATAACATTTTCATTGTTTCTTTCGTATAAGCATTTGCCACTAAAGCATGAAAAACTATCCTGTGGCTTAGAAAACTGATATTATAAGTGGTTGGAGCTTTTCCTCTGTTGCAGTAAGTTTATTTAACTACGTTAATCTCCACAGATTTGTACAAAAATACAAAATATGACATAAATGCCTCTCAAGCTCACAATTTCACGAGAAGAGATCACAGAATCATAGAGCAATAGAATCATAGAATTGTTTTGGGTTGGAAGGGACCTTAAAGATCATCTTGTTCCAACCCCCCTGCCATGGGCAGGGACACCTTCCACTAGGTCAGATTTCTCAGAGCCCCATCCAACCAGGCCTTGAATGATAAAGAATTACAGAACCCCTTGTCCATCCATATGTGACTTGTATTCTTCCCTCTTCAGGATCAAACTCCCATCTGGAATAAAGACTTTGATGGAGAACAGGGAGATGAACTGAGCAAGTCACAGGAAGTGCTGGAACGGGACAGGCAACACACAGGACATAGCAATGCAGGTACTTAACTCTAGATACTTTCCTCTGCATTCAGTGGCATGAACAACAAGGCCTTAGATGCTGATGTAGGTGTCTAAATATAGCAGACAACCCACAGCGGAGTGTCTGTCAGAGGGGCCACCACCCACGCTGTGGATAATCAAGGAAGTGCCTTCCAAGGACCGGTCCAGCTTTTACACAAGGAAATGGTTAAAGTTTCCCAATGACAAAGTGACAAGTGTAGCCAGCCTACCCTCTCTGCACTACCCACCACAGACACACACAGGTGGGGGAAATAAAAAAAGCCCAAATAAGCATGTTTTATCCTCATTCAAAGTATTGCTGGTCAGTGGGAAGAGAATAATTTCCAATACTGCAAACAAAAGCAAGAAGTTTATTAATATGAGTTTTATTTCACTGATAACTTAGCGGGAATTTCTTTGTAGTTTTTTTTTTAAATAATAAAGCTGCAAAAGAGACATACTGCTTAAGAGCTTAAGAGCTTAAACTGCTCCATTCTCATGTGCAGGGCTTTTGTGTCTAGTTGACCATAAAGCAATTCTGATTTAGGTTAAAAAAAAAAAAAAAAAGAGAGATAGCAGTTGAGTTATTTTCTTACAAATTGCTTCTTGGAATGTGTTCCTCTCAGTGCAGTAGAAAAATGTAACATTCAAAGAGATAATTTGAAAATAAAACATTTTTAGTCCGAACCTGCCTAGTACATCAGCAGACACAGACTGATCATTTTTATTCTTCAGAAAGAAGCTGTAACTAGGACTGTCCTTTAGTAACAGTCCTTATAGAGAATTATTTGCTAAGTTTCCTAGAAAGACCTTCTCTCCAGCCACTCCTACCTCTACCTCTGTAGAGCCAGTGCTGGTACTTGGACAGCAGGGTTTGTTACCCTGCCATGAGGAGGCTGCACTGAACTTTGCCCTGCCCACCTCAGATAGTGGTGCCCAGGTACGGTAGAATTGTGTGAGGAAAAGTGGGAACACTAGGTAATTCTGCTCAAACAGCCAAGTTGTCTGCCAGGGCCCAACATAGGAGGACAAGGGCTTGAAACCTAAAACAGAGGTGCAAATTGCTGGGTACTCAGGCTGTGGTTGCTGCCTACATGCATAGAATTCCAAGTGACTCAGTGAACCTACATAGCTTTCAAGCTGCTTTCAAAATCCAGCCTGAAGATCAGCTAATTTGGGCTTTTTTTTGTTTGTTTGTTTTTAAAACAGGTTTCAAAATTTTCCTTTGTATGTTTGAAACCTGGAAAATTACTATATTTTTTTTTTATTGTCTATTATTATATAGCCACCTAACCTGCATTTATACTTTGCTTCTTTAAATAAAATATAAATGCTTTTAACTGTATGTATGGCATGGTGATGAAAATCTTGTGGCTTTAGATGTCATATTTTTATTACAAAAACATGTACCAGCATTCTTGCAAATTCAAGCATTTCAGGTTCTTTACTTTCAGTTCAGTGCTTCAGCTATGAAACATTATTGCTCTCTGAACTCTTCTGAGGGGGAAAAAAAAGCCAATCATCTTTGTTGCACTGGAAGGTCAGCGGAATAAAGAGGTCAGTATCCTATCCTGTTCCTTTCACCCCAAATCTTAAGCTGTTATTCATTCCTTTAATCATTCCTAGTTATGCCTAAGGAACCTGCCCATATTCTCAGAGTGAGAGCAATAGAGCAAGAGGAGTCTCTGTCATTCCTTTTGCAGTCATTCTTTTGATTAGAACAGTAGGAGAGAATAGTTGAAGTCAGGAGCCCTCCGTGTTGTCTCACTAGTTGATGGATACAGGAAAGATGACATTATTGGACAAGCATGGTCTGCTAATGCCTTTCTCAATTTACACCCAGGAAGCAACTGCCTTCATAGTGAAATATCAGAGGAAGTCTAAATGCTCCTGGGAAAACCGATGATCTGAAGTACTTTAAAACAGCCAACAAACACTTCAGAATCTCCACAAAGAAAAGTGAAATAATTCCTGGTTGTGGAACTGGCTCTGTGCCTGGTGAACCATGGAGCTGTCATCAACTGCTCATTGTCCAGTGTATCGGGGCTCCATCATCCTGTGCTGACAAATCAGTTTGATCACAAAAGGACTCATCACTTTTATCCCAGGCTGTCTGCAGACACCTGCCAGGGCAATCATTAGGGTTCCTGACTATGTAGCATGAACTGCAGTTACTTTGATGACGCTCTCATCAGTCCTGATGACTAGCTTTATTTACCCAAGATTAAAGGTAAAACATCACTACAAAATACATCTTCTCTTGGAAAGCTTCAGAGAAAGCTGATGACATCAATCATAGCACAGCCTGCAGGCATGAGAATATAATACCTGGCTCATTCCTTCCCCTGTCAAACACACAAGAACTCTCTTCATTGCAGTGCAACAGCATGCCCTGCATTTTACACAGGAATTGTATGTAAAAACTTAAAAGCAGGTGAGATTGTTGCAATAGTAATTTCCCTGCAATTGGATTAAAAATGTCAAACCAAATTTTCTGCAGATCTTGAAAAGACAGTGTTTTCTTCTGTGGATATATACAGCCTTATTAAATGTCAATAGGTTAGAAAAGCACCATTGAAAACTTCCACCTTAGTATAACAACCAGAGGCTTTATATCATAACAAATATAGTGACTGTGAAATAAGTTGTCATAACAAATAAAAACCCGTTTACCTGCAGCTGCTGATCTAGTTCTGGAAATGCCAAAGACAAGTTTTCAGGGGAAGCATCATCTAAAAGGTAAACATGATGTTAAAAGTCAATGTCTACCAAAAAGGGCATTTCAAATAATCTATCTGATGAAGTTCTATATTGCATATATTGACAATAATATCGGGATCCTGAAAACACCTCCACATCTTATCTTTTACAGTTGAGATGTCTTAATAGACTCCTTGAAAATACTAGCGGGTTGTTAATAAGAAAATATTTATTTGGTGGAAAGACAGAAAATCTATTTTGTATTGCAGAAGTAAAGAATGTAAAGAAATAAAGAAACAAAACAAAGCCAATTAGTCCAGGAGAACATGCAATAATTTAATAAAACCAATAAACCCAAACTGTCTTCCTGGGCTCTTTCCATCACACTGCAAAGAACCCTCTGAAGACAGCATCGTTACTACCAAAGAGTTCATTAATTGAATGAAGGCCAAAACAATCACAAGAACACACAAACTAGCTTGGCAACCCTGAAACACAAAGAGAAGGCTTTGGGGTGACCTAATTGTGGCCTTACAGTATATGAAGAGAGCCTACAAGAAAGATGGAGAGAAACTATCTACAATTTACATACTGTGTAAGGGACAAGGGGGAACGGCTTCAAATGGAAAGAGAGTAGGTTTAATTAGATATTAAGAAGAAAGTCTTCCCTATGGGGGTGGTCAGGCACTGGGACAGGTTGCCCAGAGAAGCTGTGGCTGCCCCATCCCTGAAAGTGTTTAAGGCCAGGTTGGATAGAGCTCTGAGCAACCTGGTCTAATGGAAAGTGTCCCTGACCAGAGCTGGGGGGTTGGAACTAGATGACCTTTAAGGTTGCTTCCAATCCAAACCATTCTATGGTTCTGTGGTTCTGTGATTCTTTGAAGACTGTTACCTGCACAGACATGATTAGAACAGGGAAGGCGCTACAAATTTCTCCATACTACAGATACATGACTTTAACCTGTCCATTACAATCCTTATGGGCTAGAGTTAGTTTAATCATGACAACAAGCCAAACCATGTTTTTATTTATTTATTTGTTTGTTTTTAGTACAGGCCTCCAGCAAAAGCGGGACAGACTGTGCCAGTTACGTCAGTGTTGTGATGTGGACACCTGCCCAGTAGTAGCTGGACTGAGATGGAACACAGGAATCACACTTGGTAGCATCCCACCTAGTATCACAATTTTTCTTTCTCAGTGACTTTCACACTATAACTTTTGCATTGGATTGTGATGACCACTTAGGCATCTTGCTACAGGTTATGGGGGGTGAGGAGAACGTTACTATTAGCTTATAGTCAGTTATTTGTAACGTATCAAAATTAAACAAGGATGGCTCTCATAAGAGAAAATTGCTAACACAGTTCAGATCCTGCAACATGTCGTATGCTGGCAGACTTGTACAGGGCAACAAAACCCCACTGAGATTAAGAGGACCGCATATCAAAGCAGGATTCTGGATATTCTGAAAGAGTACAGACTAGGATCTAAATTATTTGTCAAATATTTGATATCTTTTTCTCCTGCTCTCCGTGGTCATATAGCAAAGGAAATTAGGGGGGAAAAGTAAAATAAGTCACCTTATCCTATGAAAAATAAGCATACAGGCTAACACATGGTCAGAGCCTAGGAAAGGATGCCCAGAGAAGAAAAAAATAAAATACGGTGATACAAAAGGAAAACTTTTGAACTTCCTCAGAAAACAAAGTGAAGTTCCTATATTTTCATGTGGTAGGAGTTTTGCTAGCATTACCAAGTCATACCCATGTCATACGTGTGTCCCCCTTCGTTTTTCACACCATTTCCCAAAAGTGTCCATTCTGGAAAATACTCAAATTGCTTTAATAGTAGAGGATTGTATCATGCAGATATGCGAGTGTTTACCTTTAATTTGCTGTCGCTTTCTTGTACAATATTTATAAATAGACTAATTTTCTAAAAGAAGAAAGATGAATCATATGGCAAGGCTAAAAGGAAGGACAGAATAAAACTCAGTCTGACTAGGGGTACAGCTGCTCTACAAGTATTTGGCTGAATAGCTGTTAAATATTCTGACAGAGATATTGGACCAGAGTCATGGATGGCAGTTAAGCTGCTATTTGTTTTGACAATTCCAGCAGTACAATCCTTGGTACAGCAGCTTTAAGGAGGGATATTGAACACTTTTAAAATTAAGAAAAACATAGCCAAAGCAACCCTTCAAAGTCCTAAAAAAAAATAAATCTGAAGCAACATCAGCTAGTAATTACTTTTTCACTGCATCAGCTGTTAATAAGAAAATGAAAATAATGCAGTGTCAGAATATTAAAAAATACATTGGAATATCCTCTTAAAAGAACTAATTAAAAAACTTTGGAAGTACTTCATAAAGGATGGAATAGAGAGAGAAATTAATATAGAGGAAATCCTTTCAGTAAACAGATGTTCCCTGCTTATTTTTTGAACTCAAGTGACTGAGTCAATGGTACCATAAATAGAACCTACTGGTATCCTAACCATTATGGCATACCATAGTACATTTTATAATGGGCCTGCCCTAGCATCTATTGAACAGCTGCTAGGGGTTTTTTTTAGTGATACTAGTTTAAGACTTGTTTAAGTCATCATCCAGTGTGCAGAACATCATCAAGAAATGTTGGAGACTTTAGTGGCTTGAAATTTTCCTGGGTTCCTGATTCTCCTGGGCTCTTTTGAGATTTTTCGCTCAAGTATTTAGTTTAGAAAAATTAACAGAAATCCTCATAACTAACTGCAATCTTGTTTTCCACAAAAAGAACAACAAATGACTTTCCCCACAGCTTTCAGTGAAATAAATTACTGCCTCAGGTCAGTTTGTATTTCACTGTTGTCAAAGTAACAACCACAACAATAACAACAAAAATCACTCGGTAAAAACTAAACACGATTAAATTTCACATAAGGGGAAAGCAAATGAAAGCAGTCAGTCAGCTCCTAAAACTTTTTTGAGGATGTTTTCAGAAAGTCAAGAGCAAAGATATAAACTCTTACATTTTTTTCTGAAATAATCACTATTGCCCCTACAAGCTGAAATACTGGGTGTTATGCAAAAAAACAGGCAAAATTACATTGATTTCCAGCCTTCAGAATCTATTGACTCTGAAAATCAGACACAAGAAACGTCTGAAATGTCAGTGAAAGTATTCTGAAGATCAAATCACTCTTACAACTATCTCCTTATCTGTCTGTATCTCTTATTTTCTACTCTACATCTCCTTAACTAGACAACAAATTTCAGAAATACCTCTTTTTCTCCTTTTCTCAATTCATTATCAATTTTTAATGAGTGCTTAGATTAAGAATCACTGATAAAATCAGTGACCCCCTTTACAATAAAGTTAGTGGCTTTTCTGTACCGAAAACCCTTGAAAATATCTAGGCTGATTCTTCAACAGCTACAGACAGCATCTCACCCCTGTGGTCACTATAAAAAAAACCACAAAGAAAATTGATTTATAATTCAAACTGGATGTTGAAAACCTATTTTGTTTAAAAATAAAAATATTAGAAAAATCAAGGACAGGAACTTGCTACACCTGAAAATGAGTTAAGATCCTGGTCAAAGGAAACAAGAAAGTAAGAATAACGTACATATGGATGCCATGGCCATCCCAGCAAACTCAACAGCACCGATTGGTGATGTAAAAGAACCATATCAGGGACTTCATTACAGCCACCTAAGTTAATGTACCTATGACATGATTTCTAAATGAGTAGCACTTCCTGATTTCTCATAATCCCAAATCTAATTTTGAAGTTCTATATTTGAAAGCGCCCTAAAGACCTGTACCCTGATTACACGGTGAACACTTTGAACCAAAGACTTGGTTCATGTGCACAAAAGAGTTCGATTTTCCTGTTTGTTTCATGGTTCACATGCTTGCTTTGCTTGTTGCTGAAAACTGCCATCATAACAGAGAGCATCGGAACTCTATTAGGACAGATTGTCTTTATACAAAAGGCTTACTACTTATCTACTTATGTCCTGAGGCATTCCTCTGATATATGCTAATGTCGCACATTTGGAAATGAATCTTGCTTTCTGGAAAGCTTCACTGATTTAATGATGTTCTGGCCTCCTGGAGATTCCGATATCCCAGACCTCCATCATGTAGACAAATATGAGAAATCCTTCCCATGTCACTGCCTAACTGACACAATGTCTGGTACAATGAAGTGTAATATCCAAGTCTCTTCCTATATGGTTGCTCCATTTAGCTAAACCGTGGGCTACAGGCAATAAATCCTTTAAGGACAACATCTGATTTACTTGCACTATAAAGTTGCAAATTAGTTTCTCTGTGATCTTCATAAAGATAGACAGAAATAGAATAGAAAAGTTTAACTGCGTTGAAAGCACATTAAGGCTGCTAAATCAAGCACTCGAAACTTAGGAAATGCCAATCACAGCTCTGTTTCCTTGAGTAACTGAGTTATGATCCAGTATTTAATTATACAATCAGGTACTATTTTTTTTCTCCTACACGTATTCAGATTTCTTGCTCCTAAATTAAAGAATTAAATTGGTAACATAAGTAGGTTGTCATCCTGTAAGTGGATCAGCCCTAACACAGGAAAAGTACTCAAACCCAACTGCAAGCACCACAAGTTGCATTGGGACAACACCAGCGAACTGTGTGTCAGGGTCCATTCTTGACCCTGGGAGGACAGTGAGATCCAGCAGCTCTGGCCCTGTATGCTGACAGACAACTCATCAAATTCATTCTGGGAGGCTGTATGGCTAAGTGACTGCAACTTGGCACTGCTGTGTGAAGCTCCAGGGCTTATATTCACAGCCCTGCCTGACACGACCTTACAAAACCTTGCAGTTACCTCACTCATAAAATAGTGGGGAATGGTCACTGCCTCACCCAGGAATAGGATGTGAAGTCTTGCTCAGTAATAAGAGTTATGGGCCTCCCAAAAATAGAAACAGTACATAACAGAAGAGATAACAGCAAAATCCTCCTACTCCATATACCTTCACTGAAGCATAAGCATCCTCAGATAAATATCTTTTTGAAGGTATCTCACATGACTTCCTATCTAATTCCCCAAAGACCAAGCCACTTCCTTGTAGGTTGGGTGTAGTTTTAGGAAACTAGCTTTGTGAATTTTAGCCATATGTTTTAGCAACCCTTACTGGTTTTCAATCAATGTGCTGGAAAGCCTCTGTTACCATTACAACTAAAATAAGGATGGAGTAGGGATTTAAAGGTTGCTTTTGAAGAAGCAACCACTGCAAAACAGTCTTGCATGATTAATTAGAAAAACAAAATGTTCTTTGTGTTCATGGGGATAATGAGCATAAAGAGGAGTAAAATAAGTAATTTTGCTATGCTTGTAAAAATATTTCACTATTTCACTATCTGTCGGGTTCATTAGAAAATTTATGTTTTGCCTTTTTTGTCAATGATTTTTCTGGAATGGTCTATCAGAGGTAAACTAATTTCAAATAAAAGAACTCACTAACAATTTCAAAACCAGTCATTTATCACCACATGTCACGAGCAGAACTTTTCAGCTAGACTCAATCTCTTATTGTAGGAGGCAAGGTGAAGAGATATTTACCTATAAACCTTATCTTTGAAGTATTGCACAAAACAAAGCCACTTGTCTAAATTCCATGAAGTTCCTCTTATAATCATTGTATCTTAATATATTCGTAAGTAAGAGTGATAAAGACTAGGACATATTGAACTTCACTGGTTAAATGAAGTTGATATTGATAAACCACAACATATTTTCAACTCTGGAATATTTATTTAAATCTTGGAACACCATTTTTAGTTCAAATTGCATTAGTTTCCAAGTGATGTAAGATGGGCTGGAATAATATGTTTCCAATTAATTAATTTAAAATGGTACCTTAAGTCAAAACCGGTGCAATATTGTGGGAAATCTATGTTAGTGAACTTGACTGAAAGAGCCAAACATAGAGATCTATATATACAGAAATAAGACATACACAATAAAACTGTCGTATATAGCCCACTAATGGGCTGCTCCTGAGACTTTTAAGGAACTGGTTACCCTACTTTCACACTAAAAATACAGCACAAAGCTGGCCAGGATTTCAGTCATCAGGTGTTGACTGACAAATAATATAACGCAATTAAATTATTTCTTGTACACTCGGGATAAACCAGCTCCAGTCTTGTAGGTCAGTTAACACAAAGTAATTTCTTCTCATGAGTTGAGAGCAGTTTCTCCTTTCACTGCTTCTCACACCCAGTGCTTGGTTACAATCCTAGCCAGTGAGATAATTGCCACCCAGAAGAAACATTCCATTTCCCCTTTTTATATCCAGTTATGCTGCTAGTTCCTCCTAGTAAGCAATTGTACAGCCCCGGAAGGAGAATGCACCCTTTTTTGGTGAAATGTGTCATTGTGCCTTTCAAGTGAGGTAGAACTTAAGGAAAAGCTCAAGTCAGACCAATTTCCTGACCACTTAGCCCTGGTGAAGAACTTACTGTTCATGCCTAGCAGTGCATGAGCCTCAGCTGATGCTTTACTACCACATTTTCAGCAGGTAACTCCTGTTTAAACTGAAAACAAATGTCAAGGAAAAAAAAATATTAAAGAAATGTAAAAAAGTAAGAAAAAAGTCTCTGCCTGCTATGGAATACCTAAAGGTCTATCTGTTGAAGGCTTTTGCAGTCCATCTTAAAAAAAAGTTTTAAATACTTGTTTTTACTCTCTTGATTCAGTTAGAGTTTGCTAGAAATTTTCGTACCTGTTAAAAGCTTATTTCCTTTGCCTTCTTTAAATATATCAAACATAATAACTCTTGAAACTTGTCACATGGTAAAACAATATGTTGATTTAGTCCTCCTGGTAGCCCTCACAGGCATGTGATGTAGAGGGGAACACAGCACTCACTCTACGGGTTGCTATTTTCTTTTATCAGCACTCATGAAGATTCTGGATTGCATACTGCAGGAACACTTGCATACATACAATAAAGTTCAAAATTATGAAACAGTTTAACAATATGTAGCAGAAAAAGATTACCTTTCTCTAACTGGGTTTGTTTTCCCAAACATTACAAGAGAGGCTGGGGTTATTAGCAGGATAAAAAAGGAAAAAATAAAACATGAAGCAATGTTAAGGAAGTTAGGCTTCCTGCCTTTCATATCTCCTTCTTCCAAGCTATTCAGAACCTTGTAATTTCCTGTTGTCATCTCTTGTCACAAACCAGTCTGCTGTCTGATTTTCCCATGGTTTCAGCCTTCCCTGACATCAGTGTCTCACATAAGCATCCTTTTTCCATAAGTTACATCTCTCTTCAAGACCCATCTTTGCCATAATTCCTGTATGAGATTTACCACATGACTGTATCTTGAGAGATGAGAATGATTCTTTACTGCCTTCTGTAATAAAAATGTAATTACCGGATTATTTTAATTTATAAAAAGGGTACATATATAATCACATGTATTTCTTTACATTCCTTGTCCCAATCTTTCTGTGTCACTCATCTTTATGAACTGAAAGTTGGGTTCAATAACATATGAAGATGTTTGGTTTTTAATTCCCTTGCTTAGGGAATGAGATTGTATTTCAGTATTGTAGCTGAAAATTAGTATTACACAAAAATTAGCTAGGAAAGTTAATGCAGATTCTAAAATATTTTTTACATGAGAAAAGTGTATTCAAGTTGAGATTCTGTTCACAAAAAGCTCCGGAAGCAACCTCACACATTATCCCACAATGCATACAGTCCCATAAAACATGCAACAGCAGTGGGTTTTAGTTATCCTTATCAGAGATCCATAAACACATCTTAGCCCTGACTCCAGCCACTTTTAGTAAAAGCAACAGCCAACGTTTTTGGAATGCTTTTCAGCTTCCTTTTTGCTTTATTTCATTCTGACTTTCATTGTTTGGCAACAGCTCTCTGGACCTTAATAATATTGAAGGTGCAAACTAATAATATTCATCTATTCCAAAGGCCAAAGGGTCCATGTCTGTACAGGATATGTTTGAGGAAATTAACGCTCCATCAGCACTAGTTGACAGTATTAACATCAATGAAATTTCTGCTGCTTTCTCAGAGATGCCATGTGGGGTATGCATTTCCTGAAACCTTTCACCAAGCTGGGCATGTGTGGCACTTTTCAACCTTCCTGCTAAAAAAAAAAGTCCCTTCCTGCTCTAGGCTCATCCAAATTTGTCCTTTTACTTTTCTCAGTTTAAAGTTCCATAAAACCAGATACACTGCAAGTGCAGGTAAATTGATTAGTTAATTACAGTCCTAAGTATACCCCACAAACCACTGAAAGAAAGCTAAGATCTAAATTGTCAATCTAGTGGATTTACTCTAATGAAATTGTTAATGGAAACATTAAAAGTTATCAGACAGGAAAACTGATCACAGCTGCCACTCAGGAAAAAAATCCACCCATTATACTGGACTAGGTTTGATATTGTAAACACTGGTAAGTACATGTAAAATTTAAAACCAATTATTTCATTGTGGTTTACTCCATAAATTAAACTGTACCTGGGGATTCATTCAGGCTGAAGGCAATTCGTACTTGCTTATCAGCAGGTACCCTGGCGGTAGTGATCATGTGGGCACTTGAGTCAATGCTTTTACTTGTTTGTTCCAGCTGCAATAATACAAACAATATATTTATTACAGAGCACGTGACATCATTCAATAAATGAGTTTTAATGCTTTTCATGCACTCACAGCTACCTTTCCCATTCTAGCCAAGCAATGTTTAGAATCAAAGTCAAGGGAGCGCCATTTCACTTTTCCATTTAAAAAGGAATTAAATGAAATTCAGTGCAGAGACTGCCTTTATTTTTGATATTTATAGATTAGAAAGAATGATGGCAAAGGAAGCTACCCCTCTCCTCACCTGCTTCCTCCCTGCCATTGCCCCTTCAGCAAGCCTTGACTTGTGGCAATGCTGCCTGCCTCTGAAGGTGAAGAAGGAAGAAGGGGTGGGGAGTTGAGAGTAACATGACCCCAAGCCTGCCTTGTGATTGGAAATGTGCACACCACTCCACATGGTGTCAATGAGGAGGCACCCATCCTCCTGCCTTCCACCCATTACTCCCCCAGTCCAGCTGGGCCTGATAGTTGCACACTCAATGGCCAGAAAGTTATGGGGTCTCCAAACCTTGGTGGTGATTTTTCAGTGGAAGTCTGTGCAGGTTAGGGGTCTGTCTGCATGGGTTTGGCTCCCGGATCGGGACCTTATTCCGTCCTCCGTCTTTCTTCTGAGACCATCAATTACAAAAGGTGGTTTTACTGAGATGAAACCCTGCCATTAAGAAAACAGCTAGTTCATTTCAAACCTGACACTAAAGAGCAACAAAAGAATTAGCTACTATTGATCTCTAATGGTGTAATCAGAACATTTCTGAACACTGGAGAGTTGTACTTGGAGCTCTACCACGTATATGTAACCTTCTGGATGAACAGTTTTGGTTAAACTGTTGGATAGCTGAATGCAAGGGATCTCCTTGATTATCTAGCACAAAGCTTCTAAAATTCAAAGATATTAAACTTCTGATTAGCTCCATGTGTGGAGAACATGAAATCAGTGGGGACATGAAATCAGTGGGACTTCATGCATGCAAAAGATCTGCCCATAAAGAAATTATTTTAGGACTGTGGGCTGCTATTCAGTGCACATTGTATTCATACCAACTAAGTGGACAATTATGAGAGTAGCTTTTAAATTACCATAAAAACTTCTTAGTCAATTAGAAACCAAACTCATCAGAAAAATACAACAAATTTACTAATTCATTTTCAGCAGACAACAAGGCATTTAGCAAGTGGAAACAAAAACCAGTTTTCTAAGCCAATAGTCTTGCAGTTTTTCAGTAAAGTGGCTATTGTATTGCAGGGCAATCCTATCAACTCATTCTAATTTACACTGAATTATTTGGCAGTTTCAAAATGTCAATACAACAGAACAATATTTCAGTCTTCCTTGGTGGTACACAAGTGAATCAAACACTTCTCTGGCATCACTGCCATGCAATCAGTGGAATAGGATCAAATTTGCTTTGTGTCCGTTAATTTCAGCATTTCTTGTTTATTTGCTTTGTCTGTTTTGATATTTACCTAGCAGAGTGATATGGTTACTTGTTATTTGAAGTGCATAATCTTTTCTTAAAATAACAAGTAACCTAAAATCCGTACTTCAAATGAATCTGATTGAAGCTGAGAGTGTCTCTTTCTGCTAATACACAAAGGATATCAGGAATTGTTCTTAATTCTCCCTTACTTATATTCAAGACATACAAAAACTGAACTGATATCTACAGAGCAGAGACATAGAAAAGTCAAATAATTGCAACCATGTATGTTTTTGGACTCAGCAAAAGACCCTTGGAGTAAACTGAAATACTTTATTTTGAAGTGCCTTGCATCAGACTGAATTACTTTCACCTTCTGAGCATTATTGATCTCTTCCCCGGCTCCCCACCCTCACTTCATAAAAAATATCTGATACATCTCATTGTTTTAAAAAAAGCAACAGAATTACTAATGCAAAATTCTTTATCATATTTCCCTTCCATACTTCCCAATACAAGGTAAAGGAAAAAACTCCACAAAATTAAGAGATTTTAAGTAATAAGCACATCCTTAAAACAAGGCTGTTCATCCTTCTGTGCTGTTGGTACACTTTCCCCTGACACTGACTATCTCAAGTGGTCTTCCACATAAGAGTATACTTAACATTTCCCATCATAACCTAAGAAATTAAAATGACGCATTCTGCTAGGGGTTTTAAAGTTGCCATAACAATATTGCTATAAGTCTGGTGTGTTATCCCAGTCCCACACTCTCTGGTGTGTGATGCTTTTAAATTACCTCTTTTAACCATCTTTTTAATGTGAGAGCAAAAATCAACATCCTTTCAGTAAGAAATGGTGAATTCTATCAAAACACGAGTGTTTTCATTTTATTCCAATCCTGAAAAAGAAATCTCATCTTTATACGCAGCAATTACCTGTAATCAAGTTTTAAATAATATTGAATTTATCCCTTCACTCCTTTTTGTGCCAAATCCTCAAGCTCTTCATCACAAAAAGCTATCACAGAGAACAGAGAGGGATGGAAGAAGCCTGTGTGCAAACAAGGTGATATCATGAAACAGTCAGATCGGCTGCCCCCAGTTCCCCACCTGCTTTCTCCATGCATGATGAACAATATCACTGTGGACAGAGATGAGGGTGAGTGGGCAACCTGGAATTTAATGAGATTTAACGAGCAGCTCTTTTCTTCCCAACAGTTGCCTATAGAACTGGCTGCTGTTCCTCTGTAAAATATGTGCAGCAGAACTCAGATTAAATGCTGTTACAGCTCTATCAAATTTTTTCACACCTGTTGCCTTACCTCACTTAGCGGAGTGTCTGCACTTGTATAATCCAGGGCCAGCCACTGCCTTGGCTTGTCGTTGCCTTTATGGAGTAAAGCTTCAATAAAAGAAAAGGCTGCACCTGCTGCATAGCAACGAACTGACAAGGTCTGAGAAGCTGAGACAGCTGTTAGGGCAACATGCTGCTACCTGCACTTCCCATAGGCTTTGCTGTCCCAAAAGATCACCCTTTTCCGCTTTTCTCCACAGTTATGCTTTTCCTTCCTCTCCTTGCCAGTGACAAGGGATTATGATGCTGTCACGCTCCAGGGAGGAAAAAATCCTTCTGTCACAGGCATTATTAAGCAGCAAACTGTGGTGAGCCCAAGATTTTTAATTCATTAGTCCTGGCAAACCTGAAATACAAACAGACTTGCTTCATAGGACAGGAATGTTTTCAGCATGACCCAATCAGTGTCTGTGTCTATTCCAGCAAACTGGCAAAGATAGCATGACTCCAGTCAGCAAAAATGTCTGCAGCTCCAATCAGCTTGGGCTGACACTACCAACTTGGACTGGCTGCAAGTGCACTTTCAAATGATAGCAGCGACTGTCAAAGCTGACAACAACGGATGGGCTTGGCCTCTCAGGCTAGGTTCTTGTTGGCTTTTGCCAAGCCAGGCTTGTTTAATAGTAGACGCTAGCCCTGCTCTTCTGAGGAGGCAATGGGCAAATCTCAGAATGCGTAGGCTGTAAAAGAAGATGTATTTATAGATCAGCTGGTGATGGCAGCGATAACTGAAGCTGACTCAATCAGAGATTTGACTGAACTCAGAGGATATCCTAGTGTGATTTTGGATAGCTTTTTTTCAATTTTGAAACCACTGGCAAGCAATTAACGGATAAACCTTGAAATATCACAATAGATTAATTTCTTCAGCTTAAACTTTTATTTGCTATTGCCAGAAAATAATGGTTTAATCCCTGTCTTGCACATGTACTGTGTCATGCACTTGTACTGCCTACATGACTTCAATTGACTGCTACCACTGTCATTAGAACAAAATGGAGAAAAATGGAGAACAATTACAGAATGATTATACAGATATCGTTATTGTTCTATGCTTGAAAAGAGGGTTCTCCTTCTTTTATAGTTCAAAATGTATTTCATATCTTGAAATTCCAAATGGAAAGAGTTTATCTAACCCAAATCTCTGTAGACACATTCCTAGATTCTCTTGGCTCAGCTGAGACACAGAGAGGTTGCAGGACAAATAAAGACAGTCTGAAGTCCTTCCTCACCCTCTCACCTTCTGGCCCTAGTCCAGGATTGATCTCATCAGGGCAAAACTCTTGAAGCCAGCAGTTGCTGTTGTGGCCTCAAAAGACCTTTTTTATACTTCAAAATTACTAAACTGCAAAAGTATCCTACCCCCACTACCTTTCCCCCAGCAATGACCAGGGAGGGTATCAGATAGCTACACCATTAGTTAGGTATCTCCTGAGGCTGTCTTTATCCACAGGGTGATTTCAGAGCAGACTACAGCTCTGGCCCAAAGAGCTGGTGGAAAATGGGACCGCACCTCTGACAACACTGACCATTTTCACTTCTCTTGATGTGTTTTTGAAAAGATTGAGGGTTCTTCCCTATATGTGTGCCTTGGAAGGGGTGGAAGACAGATTAGTCTCTGACCACAACCATTATTACAAATAACATTCTACAGCTCAATATAATCAGCAATTGGTATCGATCTCCAGCTCCACGTCCAACTACTGTGAAAGTATTTGTTTGAAGACACAGAAAATCCTGGGTAGTGGAGGAACGAAAAATATTCTGCCCCAGTTTCCATAGAGCCAGTGTTTCCCCCAAATCATGAGATACTCTTCTGTTTTGTATGGGAGAGATGGTATTTGAATGGTATAAGTGTCTTCATTACATGCCATTACAGTAAAGCCTAAGAAAGGCTCTCTACATAAAATCTTAAAACAGGCAAAATTTTCAACAGCCGTGACAGCAAGGGTCGTGAACAGAAACGATGCCTGAATAGCCCAGGGATGTTTTTTCCAGATGGTTCTGCCACTCCAGTTTCCAGACTGAGACTTCTGTTGCACTTAGTTTAAATAGCATATGCATTTGTTAATTGTGTACGTCGTTTTATGTTTTGTATCCACGACTTTTAAATCTCACTGTTTCTAGTTAAATCTGCATTTTTCACACAATCAAGGAATCACAGAATTGTTGGTGTTGGAAGGCATCTCTGGAAATCATCCAGTCCAACCCCCCTGCCCGGGCAGTGTCACCTGGAGCAGGTGACACAGAAATGTTTCCAGGTGGGTTTTGAATGTCTCCGAAGAGGAAGAATCCATGACGTCCCGGAGGAGCCAGTTCCAGCGCTCTGCATAAAGTTCTTCCTCATGTTGAGGTGGAACTTATTGTGTTTATGGTCATTGCTCCTTGTCCTGTTGCTGGGATCCACTGAAGGGTCTGGCACTATTCTCTTGGCACCCACCTTTGAGATATTTATACGCATTAATGAGATCCCCTCTCAGTCTTCTCTAGACTAAACAGTATCTCCTTATAAGAGAGATCTCCAGACCCCTCAACATCTTTGTGATCTCTGCTAGACCCTCTCCAGTATCTCCTTGTCTTTCTTGTACTGAGGAGCCCAGAACTGACACAGTTACACTCCTCTATGGAGTTTGCTGCTTCTGAAAACTGTGACTCATGGGCTAAGATCCAAAACTGCACCAAAAAAAGGCCCCTGATTTGCATTTAAATATCAGTTCCATGGTTTATGCAACAATTAGTCACCTGAAACTACTACTTTATGGGAGGTGGAATACTTTTAAAATGTGAGAATATTATAGCATTCTGCGTAGAGAACATCAAATTTGAAGCATCAGGATGAATGATTTGACTGTAATTGCTCCAGCATCTATTTATTATTTGGGTCATTGTGCTAAAACTCCCAACAGCATGGATTTAAACAGCACATTTTAAAAGGTTGTTTAAATTACTTTATACACTAGGGAAAATCTCAATTTTAAACAACGGGGAAATTGAAGTCTAGGCTGTTTCACTTCCTTGACTTGCTCAAATAATAGTCAAAGGCATTGTCAATTTTGCGTAGAGATAAATCCCACTTCTCTTACTTACTAAATAGGTGATTAAAATATCTACACCAAATTACCCTCCCATTTCTTGCAACACAAAAAAATACTTCTTTCTGACAGGCTGCACATACACCTTATAGTCACCTCTGTGAAAATTACAGAATGCTGATATCTCCAGGGTTTGGTGGTTGTTTTTTTTTTTTGCAGGAGCACAGCCTGCCCTGTTTCCTTTTCAGTACACTCTTAGTCATCAGCTGCCTGGTCTCCAAGCAAAATTCTTTTAATCCTGCATCACATTATGAAACTGGTGATGTGCTAGAAGAGGATATCATGTTTTATTAGCCAAAAACACCTTAAGGGAACATATCCTAAATTAGGAATACTGGGAGTTACTGATATTCAGTTGTGGAAACATACAAATTTGCAGCAAGTTTTAGGATGAAGTATCAGTTATTCTACAGATGTTAAAAAAAGCCAATACCTGCAATCTAATAAAACACCTGTTGCCTTCACTTTTTTAGCTGTGCTACTTTCAATTCATCTCAGCTTCCTAGTATAAGTAGTATTTCAGTAGCATATGACCTCATTCATGCTAAAATGGTGTTTCGCAGATTGCCAGCCACTATTTTAAAATACACTTTAAATATTCTAGCATATGGAAGATGTTCCAAGAAGAAATTAAAAAAAAAAAAAGTATTGCCTGAAACTGCACATAGAACAAAATCACTCACAATTCAAAATCCCTGACAACTGGAGCAACCAACAGAGCATTTCATTAGTGTTCTTTGGTATTACCTCCAGTCTCCTTGACTAGGTAGTATTTTAATACAGGAAAAATAACGTACTTTCCCCCAGGCTCTACTCTCATAAATGGCTGAACTCTCTCAGATTGAACTAAATCATTAACACCAGCATGAAACACACATTGAGCACTGACTTACAAAAGAGCACATAACTAACTTTATAACTAACAGCAAACTGATATCCAATAGATGAATTCACTTATATAGGATCATACAAGCCTAATGAAGGAGATTGCTGCAGAGAAATTAAAGAATGGGCTCAGTCAAAGTAATGTGTATTTACAAGAGCTGACCTGACAATTTTTACACCTGCCCTATGATCATCTGGAAATAACTACATCTTGAATTGTCTGAAAACCTGACAGGTGCAAAATTCCATCACTTCCACAGCAAACTCCATCCAGAAATTGTAAAATCCTAAATCTGCTGAGAAAAAGAAACCTCAAGTCTTTGAGATATTATCCTGCCAAAGATCCTTGTGTAACTCTGCATGGAAAACAAGATGAAAGCTGAAGTGGGAAATATTACTGGAAAATCTTCACTATTGCCAGAAATCAACATGTGCAAACCTACACACTTCATTCACATCAGCGTAGAGATGGAAATAACCTTTATAAACTAATTATGGGAAGAATGATGGTGGGTCGTGTCAATGGGAAATGGTGAAGGACAACACGGATAGTGTGCAGTAATTCTCTGGGAGATCAGCAGCTAAATGTTCAAAGCCAGCTTTGGCTAGCACTGGCTAACTGGAAACACCATCACTTAATAAAAAATTCATCAATTTTGCTTACCGATTGTGCCACTAAACCACCACAGTCAATTGTCCTAGAAAAGAAAGATAGTTCTCTCATATCCATGTAAAAGTGTAGTAATCACTCTGCTTCAGCTGGACTTGCCATTCCTTAAGCTTTCCTTACTCAAGAACTTGCCTGAAGAAGATACTACAAGACATTCCCACTGGATGCCAGTTGAGTCATCACGCTTTCATGGGTACATGTGTAAGACTTTCAAATCAAAAGAGTCTTTCATGAAGCTTTTCTGCTCTAAGGAAGAAGTCAGCATGCAGAAGAATGTGGCAAAATCCCAAGCAGCAGCTGGTATTCTGGCAATACTTGAAACCTCACCACTGATTCAGCGCTGAAACTGCCTTAGGTAATACTGACAGCTACAAACATAGAGCAGAAGTTTAGAAACAATAAATGCTAGAATATTTATTAGCAAAAAAAAAATTCATTAGTAAATGCCTCTCATAATAGTCCAGTCCTCTCACCTCCTCTAGATATATATTTGCATTTGGAGCCCAGAGAGCCAACTGTATGCTGGGCTACATCAAAAGGGATGTGACCAGCAGGTTGATGGAGGTAGTTCTCCCCACCTGCTCTGCTCTTGTAAAACCCCACCTGTGTCCAGCTCTGGGAACCCCAACATTAGAAGGACATGGACCTGCTGGAGTGAGTCTAGGGGAGGCCATGAAAATGCTCCAA